GAATCGGCCAAAAGAAACGAATGGACGGTGAATAAATGTTGCATATAGCAATGGGATTTGACGCAGATTTGAAACGGGAAATGTGGTCTCTCATAGGCATTTTGATTAATGAAACGCAATAGATTTCAGAAAATTCATGACCAGGCAAACAAATATGCTATTCTTACACCGTTAAATCTGCTTGCTACTAAGTATGGTTGTCCGCTTCGTAAATTCAACGAAGATATTGGAAAAATGGAATCCTTGCCGAAAGATGAACATTGCGGTATTTTGTGAAAAGATCATTAAAAAACAAAATTAATGGACCTTCAGAGCTTTAAAGCCTCATACAGAAATACCACTTGGGGAATCTGCTGAGCATATTTCTTACCCGAACTATTAGCATAACCAGCTGTGAGAGTGCATTCTCAAAACCTCAGCTTATAACGGACTGTCTTCAAATGTCATTGAAGTGGACAAGGCTCATGGAGTCGCAGTTCACAACATGGAGAGCGAGGTTGACACTGGAGAGTGTTATCAATGCTACTGCCTCAAGTAATGCGCGAAAAGTGTATCCGTAAATTTTGTTCACAAGTACTGTAACAATAAAGATTCCTGAATTTACGACAGCCCTGTATAATTGGATCTTTGCTTGTTGTTATATGAAACAAAGTATTTAAGTGCTGTCCGAAATTATGAGGGTTTACGGATTTAAAACCAGCACAGGGGGCGGCAATATTACGTCCGCCCCGGGCGGCGAGAGTAGTTGCTACGCCACTGCAAGCACCTGGTAACTTTAGGTGCAATGACACTGGCTACTGTCTGTGATGGAATGCGTAACAAATATCAGCTGTTTGCGCCAACAGGATTTGGTAAACGGATAACCTGGGGCATGCTCCGATCCCTTGTTCTACAGTGTCTCAACTTCATCCTACTACGCATCTGCTGACCCAAAGCTTCACTAGTCTCACTCGCGACCTGCCATTCGTCATCGCCCTGGGGATGAATTGCTCTGGAGCATTTGCTATCGTCACCCCTTCGCCCCCTATTTGGTTAGATTTCTCTCTATACCTAAATTCGACCTCCTATTGGCTGACGGCGCATAACCAATGAGACACCTACGCTACAGCGAGCGCAAAAGCAACCACCGACGAATGGAGAGGAGAATTTGTAAGAGGATTAGATGAAGTTGAAATCTTTAAGGCTGTAGCTGACTGCCTTATGGCTTAAAGTGTCTGGGAAATGCTATGGAGATGTAGGTCTGCCAAAAACCAATCACCACAAAATCTCTGAGTGCCATTATCATCGAGGCCAACGCATAGGGGAAGCACCGATGCACCGATATAGCGGCCAGATCAAACACCCGTAAATGCCATCTAAGGATCCGGTTAATCAGTGAAGGAAGATAGAACTTTCGCTAGCATGGGTGCATCTTGACCGGGGTCACTGAAAGCCGCTCCACTCTTGCATGAAGCTTGATTCTGTTGTATAGTCGATGAGGTTCTAAAATGTCTGCTCGTTGCTGAACGGTCGGAAGATATTTTTGGAGGTGAATCCATAACAGAGAGTCTAGAACACCTTTGAACGGCGTCAGAGCACGAGTTTCACGGTTGAACGGGCACATAGGGATGACAGGGTAAAACAATGCATAAGCAGTATGCCGGTACTTTAAGCTGACGCTCTGCTGCACGTGATCACCAGTAGTCGCGCGCTGGATAGGTATACTGCGAGATCGATAGCTCCATGCGGATTCGCACCGGTGAGCTGTGGATTAGGAAGCAGATGCCTTGATCGTGCATTGTCGGGCAAGTCTTTTGAAAATCGAGGATAAACTACTATTGTATTATCATTATCCCCGTCGCAACGAAACTGGACGAGTGTCCAATAGAGCGGCAAAACATAGATCCGTCTGAAAATACACCGACTTACGCGTATGGTGAAGTGTTTCCAGAAGAAGGCAAGTGAAGCCGTTCTTGCGTTATCGTTATGATTTTGATTTATATGGTAGGTTGACATCACGCGTCTTAGCAACGGAAGTATCCGACGCGATCAGAAGACGCGGAGTAGAAACTGGGGACCTCTCGTTTTACATGAAGGGAAAGTTGTTTGTTTTAAGACTAACCTTACTATTCTGTTCAACAAAACCGGACGCGAGGTAGAAGTGCATTTAGGACGGCGACTGTTAGCGTTGTCATCAGTTTCGAAATTACTCGCTCTGATAACGGTGGGAGGCTTCTCACATTGTGCGAAGACAACCGTCTGTTTCTTTCGAGCACTAACTTCAGTATTGCGAAGAAACGTCCAGCAAGGTGGCGCTTCGCATCGTCAAGGTAACCGAGGTCTCGAATTGATCATATTTTAATCAGCTTCAGATGGCGCGGCAGCATACTGGACTGCAGGTCCTTTTGGACTACTTTCGTTGATTCAGATCATGCTCTGGTCTGCGCGAAAATCTGTATGTGTTTTGGAGGGTCCAGAAACACGAAGCACTGCAAGGTTGATGTAAACAGATTAACTGATTCCTTTTTCCAGGCGAGCTATCAATCTTCACTGATATATGCACTCAGTTACAATCCACAGGAAACATAGTACAACACTGGAGTTGTATACATATAGGGGTGACCATTTCCCGACAGTCATGCTGCAGTCTAGCTCGACGCCCCCTTAAAGACTCGGATCTCTGCTCGCTCACTGAAGCTGTTCGACCGCCGCAGAGTTATCTCCCGCGGAATCCGACTGCAACGAGCGGCGCCGTTCTTGCAAGCGACTACTCAAGCAAAGCCTACGCGAGAATCCCGAGGCATGGTGCTCTGAGCATGCTTTAGAGATGGCGACCGCTGCTGTCTCTGGCAACAGTCACAAGCTTTTCCAACTCATTCGGTCCACTGACCTCAGCAAGACTGGTGTCAGTGAGGTTATTTACGATGCGGTTGAGTCTCCAAACGATAACCTGCAGGGGCGTTTGGACCCCTGAGCCGAACAGTTTCACTCGCAATTCAACTGGCCTCCATGCAGTGCACCCTGGCTCGTCCCACCGAATCCACCCAGTGAAGCGGAAGTCTAACTCGAGATTCGATGCTTGAAGCGGTTCAAGGCTGTCGACTCAGACAACGGACTTCCTCCGCAGCTGTTCAGGTACGGCGGCGCGGGAATCACTGACCAGCTGATCACGTTGTTCACAAAAATCTGGCCTGAAGTGAAAGTGCCTTCCCCTTGATACGAATCAGTTATTGTCCTGATTTTCAAGAAACCATCGCAGGATTAGTCTTATTTCCGTTGCCTTCAAGTTAATGTTATCCATTCTGCTCCGTAGACTATCCTCAATACGTGAATCATCCTACCGTGAAGAACGATCTGGTTTTCTTCCCGGCTGCGGATGCCTTGATCAAATCTTCATGCTCCGCCAACTCCTCGAACATCGCCACAATTATCACAGACCCACTGTCGTTGCATTCCTAGATAGACGTGCTGCTTTCGACTCCGTTAATCGACCTGCCTTATTGCGTTACTTGCTAAAATACGCGGTGCCATCGAAGTATACCGCCATCTTACGAGCACTTTACCCTCATACATCCGGCAGAGTGAGGGTCTACGGCAAGCTTTCCTCGCCATTCGCTTTCACAAGTGATGTGCGACAGGGCTGCCCTATTCCACTTCAACTTCGCAATCGAAGGCGTTCTGTCACATGCCCTAGAAGGTTTCCAACATTTTGGCCTAGAGCTTCTACCATGTGAACGCACGACCGACTTAGAGTATGCTGATAATATCGCCTTACTTGGTGACGATCCTCAGGGTATGCAACTCATTCTGGATCGTTTGGCGGTTGAAACATCTAAATATGGCTTGAGCTTCGCCCCATCAAATTGTGAAGTGCTGCTCCAGGATTGGCTTGCACCTGCTTCCGTACTCATTCTTGGAGGCGCACAACTTGTACAGGTAGATGATTTCGTCTATTTTTTGAGTTGTGTTTCTGCTGACGGCACTATCAGCAAAGTAGTTTCACTTCGCATCGCTAAAGCCCGATCAACATTTGCCAATCTGAGGCACTTGTGTCGTTGTCGTGACGTCTCATTTTCGCTAATGGGCGTGTTTACCACGCTTCTGATTGCCCTCTGTTGTTGTTGTTGTTGTTGTTGTTGTTGTTGTTGTTGTTGTTGTTGTTGTTGTTGTTGTTGTTGTAGGGGAGCGAATCCTGGCCAATTCGCGTGGAAGACATGCGTTTCCTTTCTGCTTTTGATAACGCTTGCTTAAGGAGGATTGCTCCTGTTTGGTGATAACCGGGTTAGTAGTAATGACGTTCGGCGTCGCACCTTGGGGAATGCGAGTGTTCCCTTCAACAAACTGGTTTTGTTGCGCCAGTTAGGATGGCTCAGTCACATCCTACACATGACACCTGAGCGTCTACCGCGTCGCGCTCTATTTGGTCGTCAAGGACCTGGCTGGAGGTGACCGGGTGGTGGTCAGCATTCCACTTGGCGACGGCACATAAAATCGCCGACGTCGCGTCTAACCGCTGTTGGACCCGTACGTCTTCCAGGATGGGGACCGAAAGATGTGGAGTGCCGATGGCTTGGCACTCTTGAAGACATGGCCCGCAACCGGAATCAGTGGGAGAATTGTGTACAGTCTTGTATTAGTTCAAATGTTTAATACTTCAAATATTGAAAAATCTGCCTATGGAAAACAACCTAAAAGTGTTTTTTGTTCTTTTTTATCAAAATGTTCCTTTCCTCTTGCGGCACAGTAGCTGGAGTGTGTTGTTCACCTTCAACTACTGTGCCACGATGATTATAATTCGGCGACCGTGCCCCTTATCCGCTACTCTCTATGGTTTGTGTCGGATCTATGTCTATTTACTAGACTGTTGAGATTACTACTACTAGCACAAGCCTCATGCCATTGTGTACGGACACTTTCTGTCTGTCCTGTAAGTCGAATCGACGCCCAGCCACCGACATCACAATTAAAACGCGCAAATACCGCGGTCATCTGATCATCTTCCTGTGTGCTCCTTCTTTCAGACAGGCCTTTATTGTCTTGGAAAAGATGCACATGGATTTGGCCAACTTTACAATCACTCAAATGCGACCCTACATCCGACAGCAAGCAGTGAATTACGAGCGCGCAAAATTCGCGGACTTCTTGGAGGCTCAACGAGGTGAAGTTTTGACTATGGTTTTAACTTATTCCTGTCCATACTTCTCGGTTGGAACACCTTATCTTGGATTAAACACTTTCCACCCTCTGTTCATGCGTTTGTTAGCATTGTGATTTTACAATTAAACACACGTTCTATGCCACATGTTGTCCGCAAAGACGTCACTCTCCATTACCTTCTGCTCTACATATCTAGCTATCGGGATTGATGCTCTCCAGCACACACGAAAATGGATACAGGACGCTTACAGGGTGCTCGCTCCTCATGTCACCTCATTTGAAAACACTGCCAGATTCTCCGTGGCCATTTCCCGTCAAAGTGCAAGCTCCGCGGCCGCCGCAAAAACGCCACCGGAGCGTGTCGAAGTAACCAGCTCAGATGAAGAGATTCCCCTTACCCCAAACAACATACTTCGCGAGGCTTATTTGTCTTTGCTCACATGGCCCGCTAATAAAGAATGGCCCGAGGTTTGTTTCATTTTCCGTTTATCCACATGGTCGTTGTTTTTTCGCAATTGTACATACCCAGTCGTTTTTCGCGATTATCAGAATCATCGACATTTTCCACGGTACCTTCGCATCTTACATTGATGGCTCGTTGACACATGACTATCTTTACTAGTAGTTCTCCGAGCAATGACCAGCTATTCATATTCTGTGAGGAAATGGTTATGTGGCTTGTATGGTTTCACTTCGAGAAACCAACCAACTAGGCGATCGAATAACATCCCTCCTCCTCTCTAGCTATGGGTCTTGTTACCTTACCGTCACAATGAGACTGAACCTCTTGTAATGCGATGGCTTGAGTGCTACTGTGATCCACCGAACTACGCATTCAGAGCCACTTATACCAGACAGGTCATTCGTTTGAGGTCAGTTAGATCCACTCTCAGTACATAGCTCAACAAAGATTGGAAACAAGTCGATAGCGCTCTCCATTCATACCTATACCATGGCCCATGACAGTCTACGGGTTATACACTAAGCTTCATTTGCATGGGGCGTGAACCTCAAGCGTATCTTACGAACGGATAGCACTTCCCAGTAATTTGCTAGCGCCTGCATCCTACCCGCAGCCTCAGCTCAATAAGCTTAAAGGAACGTCATTCTTCATGCCTACGTTAGGTCACACATACCCATACACCTCTTATTTAACACAAAACATTCCTCTACACTCTTTATACAAATATATTACCAGGCACCAACTCAGCACCTAGCTGACCAACAGGATCATCGACCTCAAGTTGAAAGCGAGGCGAGCGCAGCTAGCAATTAATGAACCACGCATGTGATATAGTGGTCGGCCCAGTGACATCCATAACTTTGTACCACACCTCTAACTCTTCTTCCGGTAGCACTTTGCTTTTCGCCCTGGTGTGTTGTGGGTAGGTCATCTTATTTTCGTGGGAGCATCCACAATATACTATTAGGGGTACTGAACCCATTTTAGTATTTTTCCAACGAAGACGGTTATCTGCATCACCCCAAATCACCGGCGTTTACTTCCAGTAAGCTAGAAAGCGGCTACATCTCACCTGAGATTTGCCATTGTCGCAGGTGCGCAACCTACCACGGTCGAGAACACATACGCATCATTCTGCATCTTCTCCGGCTGCGTGTGATAGGCCTGTCGAAGTGTTTGTGCTCCAATTATCCCGTAGGTCAAACGACTCAAAGATTACAGCTGGGGCACTTCAAATTGAATGCCTTTTCGAAATAAGCAGTAGAGAAATACCACTCACTCGCAGTACACTATCACCAGAAACCTACTCTACTCCTCCGTTTCCTTTTGTTTTTGCGAGTCATCTCCTCTTGCTTACCATCAAAAGACCACTACTGGACTTCATAGGCTATACTAGCGGAGAAGTCATCTACTCCTTACATACTTGAGCACAACTCTACATTGGTACACGGATTTTGACTGATAAACCACTAGTGCTGTTGTCGCGTCACACGGATGTGCGCCTGTGACAATACGTTTATTGAAGGCCAACATCTACCATTATCAGTACTAGTTCTCAAGCTGCCGTCTGGGATAGATGCTGATGTAATGCTTCATTTTTCATACAAAGATGGTTGCTATTACCTATGGATAAGTGGCATTAGTAAAATCACGCTTAAGGATGCAATTGGAAATTGGGTGTTACCCGCCCGAAAACAATTCATTACTATGACGCATTTCGATGTTATTACATCTCATCAGATAGAGTTAGCAGGCATCAAACCCGGGACCATTGGGATGCTAATTTTGACCGCTGCCTCTACGCCACTGTGTCACGGCGAGCAACGCTTGGCACAGCGGTTTAATGAACGATGTTGCCCGTCCTGACCCGGTGGCTTAGCGGTGGCGGTCACAACTAACATCCCAGTGGTCCCGGGTCCGATGCCTGCTAACTATCTGATGAGAGGTAATAACATCGATACGCGTCATAGTATTGCAGTGTTTTCGGGCGAGCAACACCCATTTTCTATTTGCATCAGCTACGGTCCTTGTGATCGAAAGACCAAGGTTCACTTCAATGGGAATCCCGGTCAACATTGAGATTGCGCATCGCAATCCATCCACACAACGTGTACTTCAAAATGACCCTCAGGCTTAAGGATGGTATGTTTAATCGCTATCTCACTGGTTCTGTTTTCATTTGAGCTGCTTACACGTTGGTTAAAAATGGGAGACATCTCATCTGTTGTGCGGCAATCCACAAAGTTTGCGGTATATGAAAATATGGGATATTACACATTACCGCATGTAGCATAAATTCAAAAATCAAGTAATATAGTGCTTCACATTTAAATAGCTAAGATAGAACAGGTTAAAGCACGTAGTAATAATGGGATAGAAAGTTGACCCGACAGCTGTGTTTCGACTTGTTCACACGACTGTAGTCGTCACATCAAGCGTTGAGTGCGCGACGGACGGACGGCAAGGGGAGAGCGAAAGTCTTCACAAATTGTTTGTGCACACATAGAGGGGAGTGATTAAGACGGATGGTGATTGCCTCTGCCATTTCAACTATGCGGCACTTCAGCAGTTTGGAGCGGACTCCCCTCACGCGATAAATCGGGCGGAAGGCCTTCATGATGACAACCGAGTGAGTAGTATCAGCCAGATGTTCGACAGTCGCATTGGTGCAGGTTTTGTTTACTTCCTGACCCAACCACGCTGGGTGTTGCTCTCGCACACGTTCGACTAAATGTCTTGTTGTGTGGCCTATGTAGCTTGTTCCACAGGAGCAAGTAAATTGGTATACACGAAAGGATGTGACATCCACGGACAATTTATCCTACAATTGTAGAGTTATCACCGGTGTAGAGGCGAAGAAGATTCGTAGCTGACCCGCGAAATACGTGTTCTTAATTGCACTTCTGAGTGTTCTGCTAATACGTGTGGCTGTGCTATCCCCTATGAAAGGCATTGATAGGCACACATTTTTATTTTCTACTGTAGGCAATTAAACACCTCGTTAATCAATCACCATGTTTCTGTCGATGAATGGCGCGGCGTAGACATTGTTAAGAAATGATTCCTTAATTTTTACACGTTCCTATACAATCGTATCCTCCGAGCAAATTTTCATTGCTCTTTGTGTAAGACAACGGATTAAATTTTGCTTCTGTAGCTGTGGCACAAAGCTACCATGTTGATTTTCTGTAAACTCTATGTTATAAAGTTCCGTCTAGGCGACGCGACATCTGTATGTCCAAGTAGGCTATTCCTTCATCCGACCGGTTGTATGCTAAACCTAATGTTTCCATGTGTTTGATTGCATTTTCATAACAATTCAAACTGATTTTCTGAGCCTTCCGTCACCCACATGATGTCGTCAACACAAAGTGCCGCATACTTGCAATGGCAGAGGCGATCGCCATCCGTCTTAACCACTCCCCTCTATGTGTGCACAAACAATTTGTGAGGACTTTCGCTCTCCCCTGGCCGTCCGTCCGTCGCGCACTCAACGTTTGATGTGACGAATACAGTCGTGTGAACAAGTCGAAACACAGCTGTTACGTCGACTTTTTATCCCATTATTACTAGTGCTTTAACCTGTTCTATCTTAGCTATTTAACTATCTTGTACTTAGCCTTTTTTGCCATACTGTGTTTTCATGAGTGGTACAGGGATTACCTACCATGTGAATATGGTGCTTATTATCATGTTATGCATCGAGTGTGAGATCGTAGTTAGTGGCGGCAAGTTATCGGGAGGTGAAGGGGAGGGACAAAGAAACTCACGACGCAATCGCCATTGAGGTCATCTTCTCGCCATATCAACTGGCTTATCAAACCAAACGTGTTCATCGCCCTTCCGTCGCAACGAGACTGGTCCCTATCGTGGTGCGACGGTCTTCGTACCTCCTCGACCAATTGAACTATATTAACTTGGGGCTCTTGAGAGCTACTCCTATCAGGTTGATCAATGGTTAGAGGTCAGACGAACTCGGTTTCCTGGTCCTCCAGGTTGGGGATTTGAAATGGGATGGCGTCCATTTCTGTAAAACCGAATTGCTGCCACATCCGCTACCTTGCGCACAGGCTTTTGAGCCTGTGGCTTTGGTTGAGGACCCTAATCGTCCTCCTGTTTAGATCTGGGCGCCCCAGCAATATCTCAGCCCCCTCATACAACCATGACAATTTCCTCACCATGCAGCTACATCCTACATCGGCCGTCGCACAGATTATCAAGAGTCGCCTTATATGCTGCATACAGTATGGCGAATAATCAAAAGCATGCAACTGCTGGCGCATCCCTTTTTTCTTTTCCACCTGTTACTCCCCTCCCAATCCCCATTATTAACCATCCTCCTATAATTCTCAGTTTAATTAACAGTAACCGCAATGTGACTGAAGTCATACCACCTGCAGCTATGTTCCCGCATCACCCGCTGGACACTAATTGCCAGCAGCTCCTTATAAGGCCACACTATCCCGTATCCCTGGCGGCGTTCAACGTTCGCACTGTAAAACACATAGGTCAACAGTCTGCACTCCCACTCGCGTTGGACACGCTAGGTATTGAGGTGTGTTATGTTCCCGGTACTAGGACGTGACCCTCACGAGGTCTTTGAATTCACTTCACACGGTTTGTCCTCCCACTACTGGTTGCGCGCATCCAGAGACGCTGATGCAGCAACCGCTGGTCAAGCGGGGGTAGGTATCATTCTCAGCTCCAAGGCTGAGCAATCGTTGTTTGATTTGATTCCGGTGAACAGCCGTTTATGTGCAGTCTGTTTGACGACATCAACTAAGGTTGATTCACGAAGTATCACTAGACACTGTAATTAGGGGCTTAACTCCGAACGGACTGACAACGGCAAGCGTGTGTTGAAAGTGTGCGGGGCACAGGCTGTTTCACAGTGGCACCGTTTTTAGACACATTGGGCGCCGAAGTGCTATTTGGCATCCTGTAGCTGACCAACGATGGACCCAAATAGATCACGTTACCAAAAGTTACAAGTGGCGTGGTTCCA